AACTGCTAGAGTGGGGGTGTGGGGAAGCAGAAGGGGGGGGGGCGCGGGAGGGAGAGGACACTGCTCCAGGCTGCTCTGGCCGCAGCCCAAATCACTGTCTTACAGGTCACCACTGGACGTATGAAGGTGAGAGCAGAACTCCCGGCCGCCTGGCACTCCTTTCGCCCTGGGACACCCCCCCCCCCCCCATCACCTGACATGAAGACTTCCTGGGGAGGAAGAGCTTTCCTTGAGCTTCAGACGCTAGCCCCTCTTCTTCTGCATTGCACACACAGACACACGCCCTGGGTTTATACATGTGGCTGCTAGACCCTGCACTAGGCATTAAAAAAAAAAAAAAAATCCCACGTCTGCTGATTCAGCAGAAAAGCCCACGAGTCCTCCGCAAATCTGTGTGGAAATGAAGAAGAGTGGGTGGGGAGAGGCACGATGCGCTCAGCGGCCATTCTTCTGGCTCTTCCTCCCCAGCAGTCCTACCCCCAACCGTCTCTGAAACCCGAGGTCAGGAGGAAGAGCTGGCAGGATCCTGTGACACTGCTGACAGGGGAACTCAATCCCTTTGAACTTCTCTAGCTGGAGTCAAGGCAAGGTCCATGTGAGAGTAAGGAGTGAAGGACAGAAAGGATATCTGAACCCCAAGACTACTTGATAGGGATCCCCAGAGATACTTCATCTGTTTAGGGTCAGTGGTCCCCTCCGATTCTGCTTCACCGGGTGTTCAGGCTTTCTGTCTATTTCCCCTCACTGTGCTTCACTGTTCTCAAACTACAGGTAAGTGAAAGCTACCCCTGCACACGCGCGCGAGCACACACACACACACACACACACACACACACACACACTGATTAGGGTAGCTGGAGAATCACCCCCTGCCTCTGGGGCGGAGAGGGGCGCTGCAGCCTAGAGGGCTGTGGGCACTCCCACCTCACCCTGCCCCAGCCAACTGGGTGGCGAGAAGTGGATTTCTGCTTCCACTGTAATGTGTATGGGGTCAGGGGTTACTAAAGGGAGGTTGGGGCTGTGGGGCTGGACATGGACCCATGGTAACTTACCCCTCCCCCAGGCCCACATGGTCAGGACCACTGGCCAACCTCTTACCCTGAGTGTGGAGGCGATGCCCAGTCCCCCATCAACATTCAAACAGACAGTGTGATATTTGATCCTGATCTGCCTGCTGTACAGCCCCATGGATATGACCAGCCTGGTACTGAGCCTTTGGATCTACACAATAATGGCCATACAGGTAAAAGACTCTACTCCAAGTAACTGCAGCTTCCAGTTCAGACCTTAAAAGAGCCAGAGGAAACAAACAACTAACACACAAGATCTCAGAGTACTCCATTAATAAATGTGGACAAATGAGGTTCAGAGCCGGGCGATGGTGGTGCAGGCCTTTAATCCCAGCACTTGGGAGGTAAAGACAGAGGCAGATGGATCTCTCTGAGTTCAAGGCCAGCCTGATCTACCTAGCGAGTTCCAGGACAGCCAAGGCTACACAGAGAAACCCTGTCTCAAACAGAGATTCGGGCTCTTGCAGCTAAGGTGGGATTGAATGTCTATGGTCAAGTTCAATGTGTAGGTTAGTGTCACAGCACTGAGAGGCCACTGTGGTAGAAAAGCCACAACCTAGGAGAGATTCTGGAAGGGAGAAGGAAGAGGAGAGCCAAGTGTCCCAGGTGGTGGCCAGTCGGGGTGGGAACTGCCCCCTTTCCCCCACAATCCCTACCTCTTTCCTCACAGTGCAGCTCTCCCTGCCCTCTACCCTGCACCTGGGCGGACTGCCCCGGAAATACACAGCAGCCCAGCTCCACCTGCACTGGGGTCAGAAAGGATCCCAAGAGGGCTCTGAGCACCAGATCAACAGCGAAGCCACGGTGGCAGAGGTACCGACTAGAATACAGGATGCAGTTCATCTTGGAGAACGGATGGATGTGAACCCTTGAAAAGTTGTATTGAAGGGACAAGGCAAAGCTTTGGGGGCAGAGACTCAGACTGGGGGACTGAGGTAGTGACCAAGGTCAAAGCCCTGGACAGAATGAAGACATGTGAAGGAACTCATGCCCGTCTCCCTCCCCACAGCTCCACGTGGTCCATTATGACTCGGAGTCCTATGGCAGTCTGAGAGAGGCTGCTCAGAAGCCTCAGGGCCTGGCTGTCCTAGGCATCTTAATTGAGGTCAGTAACCCCTAACTCCTCTCAGCTCTCTGCTCACATTCCTCAGGCCTGTTCTGTTGGTGCACTCTTACTCCAAACACATGATTCTGCTGCATCTCTAGCGTACACTCCTCCACAGGTGGGCGAGGCTGAGAACCCAGCTTACCGTCACATTCTGAGTCATCTGCACGAAATAAGGCATAAAGGTGAGCCCGAAAACTCTTAGTAAGAATTTAACTGCAGCCGGGCGCTGGTGGTGCACACCTTCAATCCCAGCACTCCAGAGGCAGAGGTGGGCATATCTCTGTGAGTTAGAGGCCACCCTGGTCTACAGGACAGCCAGGACTGTTTCACAGAGAAGCCTTGTCAGACAGAGAGTGGTAGCACATGCTTTAAATCCCAGCACTCAGGAGGCAGAGGCAGGCAGCTCTCTGTGAGTTCGAGAACAACCTGGTCTATGAGAGCTAGTTCTAGGACAGATAGGACTGTTACACAGAGAAACCCTGTCTCAAAAAAACATAAACAAAACAATTCAACCGCAGAGAAGCTTGGGGAGGAGCAGGGAGTTGTGCACTCTGCCCAGAGGAACCCTGTGCAGAGCGGCTAACACTTGCTCTGCTCTCCGTAGACCAGATAACCTCAGTGCCCCCCTTCAATGTGAGAGAGCTGCTCCCCCAACAGCTGGAGCAGTTCTTCCGGTACAACGGCTCACTCACGACCCCACCCTGCTACCAGAGTGTCCTCTGGACAGTCTTCCACAGAAGGGCCCAGATTTCAGTGGAACAGGTGAGTGCTGGAGAAGCTAAGAGCGGCTTTAACTCAGACCCTTGCCCAGGCCCCAGAGTGACTTCTACTCCTGCTCCTCAGTTAGATAAGCTTCAGGGGACGCTGTTCTCTACGGAAGAGGAGCCACTTGCGCCCCTCATACAGAACTACAGAATCCCCCAGCCTCTCAACCAGCGGACCATCTTTGCTTCCTTCGTCCAAGGTGACTGGCAGGGCTCGGAAGAGAGGGGAAACTGAGGAACTCAAGAGGCATGGAATAGTCAAGCCCTAGGCAGGAAAAGGCCAAGGGTGGATTCCCACTTCCTTAGACTGGGAACCACTCCTAGCCATGGATGCCCAGAGGTCATTTTCCAGGTGTGGGAGCAGGGCTCCCAAACAGGAAGATGTTCTGAAACTCCCCTAACCAAGTTTTCTTCCTCTACAGCGGGACCATTGTATACCACAGGTAAGATGGCCCTGTAGGGAACCGTGAAGGGGGTGTGGATTCCAGCACCTGTTAGACTAGACTAACAACTTTGTGTCCCCCCCAGGTGAGATGCTGGGCCTAGGTGTGGGAATCTTGGCTGGATGTCTCTGCCTTCTGCTGGCTGTTTATTTCATTGCTCAAAAAATTAGGTAAGATCCTACTTTCTATCCCTGAAGTAGTTTATTTTCTATTAAAAGAGTATTCTCAGAGACTGGGCAGTGGTGGTGCACACCTTTAATCCCAGCATTTTGGGAGGCAGAGGCAGGCCGATCTCTGAGTTTGAAGCCAGCATGGTCTACAGAATGAGTTCCAGGAAAGCCTGAAATACACAGAGAAACCCCGTCTCGAAAAAACAAACCAAAAAAAAAAAAAAAAAAACGAAAACAAACAAAAAATGCATTCTCAGCCAGGCACGGTGGTATACACCTTTAATCCCAACACTTGGGAGGCAGAAGCAGGAAGATCTCTGAGTTCAAGGCCAACCTGGTCTACACAGAGTGAGATTCAAGACAGCCAGAGCCTCATAGAGATACCCCCCCTCAAAAAAATTCTCTGGGGAGGCAGCTCAGCTGGTGGAGTGCTTGCCTGGCATGCACAGTCCTGGGTTTGATCCCTAGCACCACATAAACCTGGCATGCTGGCACACACTTGTAATCCCAATACTCAGGAGGTGGAGAAAGTTTAAGGTCATATTCAGATACTTATTGAGTTGTTTTTAAAAAGTGTTTCCTGTCCTACTCTAACCTTCACTTACAACACTAGTCACTTCCATGAACCACTGCTTCCCCTTCCAGGAAGAAGAGGCTAGGAAACAGGAAGAGTGTGGCCTTCACTTCGGCACGGGCTACCACAGAGGCATAAACCCCCTCATACCCATCAAGGGTCTCTCTAAGGGCATGCAGGGGCTGGACTAGAAGTAGCAGGCAGACACGTGTCCTTCTCCATACCAACTCTGCACACATACGCCAGAGAAGCAAGGACCCAGGGCTTCAAGGAAGAGCGGAGTCTCTGGCCTTCCAAAGCACGTAGGTCAGGAGATCCCTGCTTTAACAGGCAGCTATGAAGAAGCTGAAATGTGCCCTGATGTCCCTCACCTCACACCTTCATGGCCCCTCCCCTAGACACACCTAGATACATGTCTAGGAAAAAGCTGCTGCTGTGAGTTTAGTTATTTTTTTTTTTGCTCAATATATGTTTGAAAACCTTACTTCTGGTTGTCTTTTGTGCCTTTCAAGGGTGGGAGAGTTCCTCTGTCCTCTGGGTGGCCGAGACAGACATAGAGAAAAAGAAAACTGGGGGATTAACTCCTTGTACCCTCTTCCTGGACAGGGGCACTCTACTTCTGGGAAAGCCAACTCAGTTCCACCGGTGCCTCTGATATCACACCTAAGCTGCCATCAGTGAACACTGTTGTCAGGCTAGACAGGAGGATGGACAGAAGCCACCAAGGGCTGGAAATCTCAATCCATTATCCCCTCTCTTAAAAGCCAAGTTCCCCCACAATTATAAAGTCCTTTTTATTAGTCAAAATCACAATCACCTTGATTAAAAGGATGGGACATCCCACCCTCGGCATAAAAATGGTACAGTGGTAGAAACCCTCCCAGCCCTCCCACAGCCCAGTTAAAAACTAGAAAAATGTCTGCCCGCTTGGCCTGCGATGCCATGGTAGCCTGACTCCTCCAGGGGCACTGCCATGGAGTGGGCCAACCCCACAATACCCTCCACTTCACCTTGGGGAGAGGAGGGGTGCTGATGGTCACGGACGTTAAAACATGAGTTCCAGTGGTACCAGTTCCCAAACATGCACTTCCTTCCTTTTCCCCAGGGCCTGGGACCAAGGGGGAAATGGGATAGAAATGAGCCATGATCAGCAGTTTCAGGAGCAAAAATACAGCCCAAGGAGGTTAGGAGGCTCCCAATAGACCTCCTCACTCCCCCGACTTTAAAAAAAAAAGGCATTTCTGGGGTCTTTATCATACCAAAAATGGTTCTTTTCAGACCTGAGAAAAAGACCAAGATGTCCAGTCTGGGCAGTAGATACTGGAGACCTAAACTCATCTCCCTTGAGCCTCTAGTAACTTCATCACCCGGGCCACAGCTAACCTAGGTCCCTTTTCTTGGCAACCTGCACTGTCCAGAACTGGAGATGGAGAAATACAGGACGAGGAGATCGGGAGGGTACCCCAGGCCCAGGGGTCCCCCCCATGTTCCCTCAGTCCTCGGGTGGGATGCGCAGGGCAGAATACACCATCACCCGACTGTCCTCCTGCCGTCGGCCTGCAGAGGGGAAGCGGGGTGAGTCATGGGCAGGGTGAGAGCAGAGCACTGACACATGGGGAGACCTGGACAAGGGGCTCCCCAGGTGGTGGGGAGTAATGCAGATTCAAACCCACCAGTCCCTGACGGGCTGCACCCAGGCTGCTCCTGAGAAAGCTTAGAGACTACAGGTCACGAATGGACAACACCAAACCCGGAAGGTAGCGGGACACATCAGCGAGGAGACGGAGGATGTGGGCAATGGACCCGGGCTGGGGCTGGGTTCAGTCATGGGCAGTGGACAGGCAGATGGGAGCTGTCAGGCGATCAGTCCAGGTAGTCAGTCCTTACACGAAAGGCTGCGCTGGATACTTCGGAGGGAGCCTCCAGCTGTGATGAACGCCCAGAGCCCCATGGAAACAGTGACTGCGTAGATGGGCAGCAGGCTGGCCTCATACCAGGGGTTCAGGAATGTCTGGGAACGAGGATAGAAAAGAGATTAGATTCTCCCCGCACCTAACCCCAACATTCATTTTGTGCCTCTGACCGAACCTCCCCCAGACATTCTGGAGCTAAGGGAGCTTTTGATTTTAGATTCCTCAAAGGTTTCAGCTCCTCCTAGCCACCTCAGGTCATCTGCATTGGTCTGACTCAGCATGCAGGCTCCTCCCCAGAACAGGTGGCCTAATTGATGCTGAGGTGACAGGACCTTTAAGGCTCACCTTTCTGCCTCCACCCAACGTAAGTTAACTGTAAGTTAACGACGTGAAGTGAGAACACATAACCCAGCCCATTCACTCTGAAATGCTTCTCCCTGACTCAGGCCCCTAGCTCCAACTCACCAGTCCTGATGTCAGCAGGTGACTCCCGACTACCAGGCCCACAGCCCAGTACCGTCTCCTCTCACAGGCATCAAAGAATACAACTCCCCAAAAGGTATGGAGCAGGATAATGGCTGCTGTCAGAAAGGCTGCAAGGAGGGAGATGGGGAGGAGATGCATCCCTGACCTTCTCCCAGTCTCCTGAGATGCTGAGCCAGAGGAGCTTCCCAGGGAAGGTCAGATGGGGCTGGGGATGGACAGGGCATAAAGGCGAGGTTAGAGGGGAGCCTTACCTGAAGTCAGGAAGTAATAGGGTGAGTCGCCATGGATCCCAACCACACCTGGCCCAAGGGCATCGGCCAAAATATTGATAACAGAGAAGACACCACTGATGATACCGAAGGACAGACCAGAAACTGGGGGGAGGGAGGCGCTCATCAACGTCCAAGGCTACCACAGCACTTCTACCAGCACCTCTCCCGTGCCCAGTGAGAACCACCATACCTACTCTCCCTCCAGACTCCACACTGCCTCTCCTTGGATGTCAAGGATGAAGAGAAACACTTAGCACATTACCCTGAAGGGGAGGAGGGGGTGATCAACTCCCTCCTCTGGTCCCTCTCCCTTGGCTCACCATAAGCCATCTGACGGATGGAGATGGGCGATCTTCCGTCCTCACTCAGTGATGCTAAGCCCTCACCTGCCTTCCTGGGATAAGAGAGAGGAAATATAAGAGAGGGCAGGGATGTTCTTTTCCCTCCAAGATCCTCCCTTGAACGCCCCTTATTCCAACTACCACCCAAGGGCTGGCCCACTTCCCACAATGCACACCACTGTCCCCTCTCCCTTCCAGACCACCCCGGTCCTTACTTAAGGAGCTTGTAGTAGGCAAAGCGGAACACTTCCTGTAGAAGGACAGAAACAGCAGCACCAAAAATCAGGAGGCCATACTGGAGCCGGGCATCTGACCGGTCTGTCACATGGACCAAGATGAACCAGACCACAGAGGCCAAGAGCAGGGAGACCAGCCAGAAAAAGGCTCTGAGGAAACACAAGGACAATGAGAGGCAAGTATAGGGGCAGCCAGAAAAATCAAGGAGGGAACCAGCCAAGGCTGCAGCATGAAAAGTGGAAGGTAGACTTCCGGATGGTCAGGGAGACAGGGACCAGGTAGGATAAGTGTCTCCACCAACAGAATCATCTGTAGGAATCTGCAAGCAGCAGAGGGGAAAAAATCTGGTCAGAGTCTTCAGTGAGATGAGAGAAAGTGTACGCCGGCACGGGCGGACGGGCAGGGTATCCATTCCTGGGTCCTGGCTAGCCGAGGTCAGCACAGCCCCCTCACTACTCTCAGCCTTGGGCCTTCTCTGGCGCTGCCGAGAAGACTACAGGAGGAATCTATGAAATCCCTGGAAGGCGGAAGTCGACTGCGGAAAATCGCCTAGACCACGATTTGACCCTGTCCAACCTTTTCCTACTTCTGTCCCCCAACTCAGGCTCCCATGCTCGCCCCAGTTCCTCCAGCTCTTTCCGCATCATTTTCTCTACGGTTGGCCCCGTCTCCACCACTCGCTACTCACCCCGCGACCAGGATGATAACCCGAAGCGGGTCTCCAGCCACAGTGATCAGGAAAAGAGCGAACGCTGGGCCGAACGCGACGAAGGTGCACCCGAAAAACACAGCAGCCCCCATGACTGGGCAGCTGGGGGCGGGAGGGAGCCCCGGCCAAGGGAGGCGAAAGGGAGCAGCGCGCTGGGGGGGAGTCCGTGTGGGGCGGCGACGCAACCCCACGAGGGGCGCGGTGCAATGTCACCCCCAGACCCCGGGGAAGGGGAAGGGGGGGCACCGAAACCCCGGACGAAGGTCCGCCCGACCTCGTCTACGGAAGCCGAAGAGGGAACAACCCCCGGTCGCTGCCCCATGGCCACCTCCCATCTAATCCCCACCCCCGGAAGGCCAATGAATACTTGATGGGGAGGAACTGCAGAGGCGGGGTCGTGGCAGCACGGCCTTCTGGGAGTTGTAGTCTGTCAATCCTCTGAGCCCTCCACTTGGTACTGGGAGTGGCTCCAGAAGAGTGGGTCGGGACTGGGCCCAATCAGGGCAAGGATTCCTGGGTTCGTTTGTGCCTGGTTTCTTTTCATTACTCTGTGGAGAAGAGTAATAACAACCATACCTATTTCTAGAAGAGCTTTGGCGGGGAAAGATCCTGTTTGAATCTAGAGACAAATATAAAAAAACAGCCCAGGATAGGGATTGTAAGAAGATAGGGATGGGCATTGTTCTTACTTGAATTAGAGGAAATGACCCAGAGAAGCACACTAAGGGATCAAAGTTGGTCTTAGAAATTGGAGCTCTTTGGGCAGCCTCGTAAGGGAATTATATGGTATAATCTGTTTCAAATGAAGTATTCTGTGACGACAGAGTCAGAGAAGCAAGAGGAGCCAGGAGAGAAATATTAGAAATATTAGAAAAATGTTTAGAAAGAATCCAGGAGTCAAAAAGCACCGAGAGCACAGAGACGGAGGGGAAAAACACAGCAGCCCCCATGACTGGGCAGCTGGGGGCGGGAGCCCCCACCCCCACCCTGGGCCGCTTTGTTCGCTTGATGTCACACTTCCTCTATTTATATTCTGAAATATAAACTTGAGTGGTGTCTTTTCCTCAAGCTGGGGAGTGTTTGTGGAGGGCGGGGGTCGTGCGAGAATGAATCATCATTTGTGTAAGGACAGATTTGTCCTTAGGAGGATGCGTGAGCAAAAGAATCCTACGACAAGATCAGATCTGGAGAGTTGTTTTTGAGAGTGTAATCAAAGCAGCAGCAAACTACAGAGGTTGTTTGAAGAAAACCAGGCTTCCTGGAAGTGATTTTTTATTTAATACATGTATGCCACTCATACGGAGGATGTTTTACACTTTTTTTTTCATAAATTCCAGGAAGAAACTGAGAAACAGGTTTTTGTTAAAAGACACCAGGCACATCTTGTCACATAGTTGAGAGGATGGGAACATCCTGGTCAGTGTGCCCTGCTTCTGAGTTCAGCAGGCTGAGTTAGGGGAAATACAGACAAGATAGTCCTTCTTTCTCTCTGTGAGCTGTCAATGGAACATGGCCTGGCTGTAGAGAGCAGCCTGGAAAACCTGTCTTGTGAGTGGTGATTCCACAGACACTTGTATAGTGCTCCAGGGACTCAGAGAGCTCCAGGGACTCAGAGTGCTCCAGGAACTCACAGAGCTCCAGGGACTCAGAGTGCTCCAGGGACTCAGAGTGCTCCAGGGACTCAGCATGCTCCAGGGACTCACAGAGCTCCAGGGACTCAGAGTGCTCCAGGGACTCAGAGTGCTCCAGGGGCTCACAGAGCTCCACGGACTCAGAGTGCTCCAAGAACTCACAGAGTGCTCCAGGGACTCAGAGTGCTCCAGGGACTCACAGAGCTCCAGGGACTCAGAGTGCTCCAGGGACTCAGAGTGCTCCAGGGACTCACAGGGCTCCAGGGACTCAGAGTGCGCCAGGGACTCACAGAGCTCCAGGGACTCACAGAGCTCCAGGGACTCAGAGTGCTCCAAGGACTCACTTTCGAGGCTGAGCAAGTATTTCTTATGTATGTGGAGTTTTGTTTAAGTAGTTTGATTTTTCTTTGGTTTGGTTTTTCCAGACAGGGTTTCTCTGTGCAGCCTTGACTGTCCTGAAACTCACTTGTAGACCAGGCTAGCCTTATCTACCAGCCCCCGCCTCCCGAGTGTGGGATTAAAGATGTGTATCACCACACCCACTGTTTGTGAGATTTTAAAATATACTTTATTTTCTTTATGTATTTGGTTTGTATCTTGTTTTACAAAGTTTACAGATTTATGCCAAAATGTAAGGAAAATAGTCATTTATCTGGAACGTTTTTGTAGTCATATGTCATCTTACTTCTCCTACTCTCTCTATATATTTTATTGTTGTTTGATGTGTGTGGTCTTTTGTTTGTTTGGTTTGGTTTGGGTTTCTTGAAACAGGATCTCTCTATGCAGCCCTGACTGTCCAGGAACTCACTCTGTATTCCAGGCTGGCCTCGAACTCACAGAGCTCTGCCTCCCAAATGCTGGTATCATAGGGCCACGACACCACGCCCGGCAGTGTCTTGTCCGTGAAGTCTCAATTGCCTAACAGACTAATAGTTCATTGTGCCAAATAAATACGCTACTGCTTCTGAATTGAACGGAATGAAAATAGGAAATACAGGAGCAGACAGAATGATGAGGAAGGTGCCGTGTGTCTGAAAGTGGGAGCAGAGGAGAAGATGGTGTTTGCTTCCTCTCTTCTTCCATCCTGTGTCCAAAAAGTTGGGGGAAAGGGGTGAAGTCAACACAAAATGGCAAGAAATAACTGGCCTTGGCTATTGTATGCATAGAGTATGCATGCATACAGTACAGAAACTGCCAGCGGTTAAGGTTTTTATTGGAAAGAGGAACAGCCGGAGGCATCTGGAAGAGTTCAGAGAAGAGAGAGAAAGTAGACTGGACATGGACAGGGCTCTCTGCAAGATGAGGGAGACTCATGGGAGGTAGAGAATGGAGCAAGAATAATGAGAATAGCAAAAGCCAAGCATAGTGAGAAGGGTTGGGTTATAAAAAAAACGAGCAGCTGTGGGAGTGGGGAGCCCATGAACTGGAGGGGTATAGGGGAGAGAAGGAGGTGAGAAAGGCTAGGATGTTAGTATGGACTCTGAAATGTGTAACAGGTACTTCTGATACTGAGGTACCATGGGGGCCAGCATAGGATTTGGTTAACTGGTAGGTGTCACCGGTATCCATACATCCCTTCTGCCAGAGGAAAGGGAAATGACTCCGTTTGTCAGATGGGAACCAGTTTCACGAGTTCCTGTGGAATGCTGGCTTTTATCTAACTTCCAGAAATACTCCAATAGTCCAGGATGAGCTAGCTCACTTCTGGATATATGAACAGCCTTTTGGAGGCTGGGAAATTGGAGTTTCCTTTGGCCCTGACAGCTATGAGATGTTTATCAGCAGCAGTGCTAAGGAGATTTGGGAGTCAAACAATGGTTCATAAACATCACTTCCGGGGGCTGGAGAGATGGCTCAGAGGGTAAGAGCACTGGCTGCTCTTCCAGAGGTCCTGAGTTCAATTCCCAGCAACCACATGGTGGCTCACAACCATCTGTAATGAGATCTGGTGCCCTCCTCTGGCCTGTGGGCATACAAGGAGGTAGAATGTTGTATACATAATAAGTAAATAAAATTTAAAAACAAAACAAAAAAACATCACTTCCATCCCCATAGCCAAGGCAGTCAGAGAAGAGGCACTATTTACTTACTGTCTAGAAAACGTCCTGTGAGGAGATATTACAGGTAAAGAGCAACTCTGCACGCCAAAGGTAAGTTAAGGGTTGCCAGGCAGGCGAACACCTGTGAGCCTCGGGAAGGAGGGCAGAGTATAAACTTTGGTCCCAGCAGAGGGAGTCCCCGAGTGGACCTAATCTAGAGCTAGGGACTCTGCAGGAGTAACAAGTTTCCATCCATCTAAGAGGCTTGCCCCTCAGTCCAGCAGCAGTGTAACAGATCTGCTGAGAAAGTAGGCGGGGATTTCTGTCCCCTGGGAGAAGAATCACTGCTCCCTCCCAGCTTCACAGCAGGGGGGGGGTGGGAGGCGGGGTAAGTGTGGTGGGAAACAGAGCAATTTCCTCTTTACTTTCACAGTGGTAGTGCAGAATCCAGAATGGATGTCCTCTTCTTAGCCGCCCTTGCTGTGCCACTTATCCTGGGTAAGTCCACTCCTGAGCCCGAGCCTGCCAGTCCTTTTCTTATAAACGGGATGAGAGAAGAGCTAGAAGGACAAGGTAAGTGGGCATGTCAGCAGGAGGTGATGGTGCTTTCTCCAGGGTTGGGGGCTGAGTAGAGACCTGGAAAGTGGAGCCAGAAAAATCAACAGAAAAGCCAAGTTAAGTCCTGTCAAAGAAGAGAAGGCTGGTAGCGGATGGAGCCCCAAAGAGAGTTCCTTCAGCTAGACTGAGCTCAGATTTCTGTTAAACTGAACAAAAGAGTGAGGAGCCGGACAGGAAGGAGGTGGGTGCTCGGAAGCCAGGGGTGAAGCTAGTGAGGCCAGAGTAACTCCTTCCTACAAAGTAGAAGGAAAACAAAAAACAAAACCCCCCACTTCTATTAGCAAAGACATAGGAATGGGAGCCAAGTTTCATGACACATGCCCCAGCTCTGGGAAAAGGGGCAGAAATTTAAGGGCAACTTTGACTACACAGTGAGTTCCAGACTAGCCCCATGCATAACCCCACCTCCCACCCAGCAAGTCCTGGTGGTGCATGCCTTTAGTCCCAGCACTCGGGCGGCGGAGGCAGGCAAATCTCTGAGTTTGGGGCCAGCCTTCTCTACAAAACAAGTTCCAGAACAGCCAGGGCTACACGGAGAAACCCTGTCTCAAATAAATAAATAACCCCTATTTCAAAAAACAAAACCAAGTTGGGTGTGGTAGCTCACTTCTTTAATTTCAGCCCTCTAGAGGCGGAGACAGGAGGATCTCTGAGTTCTAGGTTGGTTGGGGATACATAGTGAACTCTGTCTTAAAAAAAAAAAGACATAAATATGGATTGGCCTATAGGACAGTAGAAAACTGGCTGTCTTTAGGGACAGGTCCCAGGAGGAGCTTGGCTCCTTCCCTTCTTTGTTCTCCAGTCTGCCAGGTGTGTCTCATTGTTTTCCTTTCCCGTGTCATGTCCTTAGTTTGGGGTTGAAGGGATGTATTTAGCAGAAGGCCTAGAATTCGGGATTCAATTATCAACACCACCATTTTTAGTTTTGGAAGGGAAGAGGAGCTATGATGGGTCATTTGGTCCAGCTGACTCGTTTTAAGGAAAGGGTTGTGAGGCCTGCTGTGGTGGTGCACGCTTTTAGTCCTAGCATTTAGGAAGCAGAGGCAGAAGTAGGCAGATCTCTGTGATTTCAAAGCTGAACTGGTCTATACGGTGAGTTTTAGGACAGCCAAGGCTATGTAGGGAACCCTGTATGTAGGCTCAAAAAAAAAAAAGTGTGGGGGAGGGGAATGAACGGACTGTTCACACAGCTGCTTAGTTAGCAGTGAAGTTGGAAGTAAACCCAAATCTAAAAGCCTGAGATGTTAGTGGTTTTGTGAGAGATGTATAAGAAATTTGGGAGCATATGGAATCTATATGATTTTCTGAATTTCTGGTCTCTGTCTTCCACTCACAAAGGGTTTACAGCTCCTATGGGACTTAGTGCATGTGAAGGGATCTGCTTTCTGTCCTGGGAGTTCTGAACGGAAAACAGACTGCTGGCCTCCCCCACCTGGGCGGGTTTGGAGGTACAGAGGCAGGGAGAAGAGACCTCTGGAGAGGAGGCAGAAGGAAGGAGAACCGGGAGAGATGGAATCAACTCCATGTGTGCTGTTGCTAAGGAGCTCCAGAAGCTTTTGACCTGTAGCTCTTGTCCCTGCAGGACAGGAATACGAGGACGAAGAAGAGCTGGACGAGAGTGAATACTATCAAGTGGCATATTATTATTACACAATTACCCCTAATTATGGTGCGTATATGAGAGGCTCTGGCTCAGGATGGGGTCGGAAGAGATTTGGGGAATACTTAATTCAAAGATTGCCCTTCACGTTGCAACAGAACAAGAGGATCAGACAAAATTTTGGCTGTAAGAAAAACTTATCAAGATTCTTGATATTTCTCAAGTTTATGATTTTTTTAAAATTAAGAATTATTATAGCTGGGCAGTGGTAGGGCACGACTTTAATCCCAGCACTTGAGAAGTAGAAACAGGTGGATCTCTGTGAGTTTGAGGCCAGCCTGGTCTACAGAGTGAGTTCCAGGATAGGCTCCAAAGCTACAGAGAAACCTTGTCTCAAAAAGCAAAGACAAAAAACAAACAAACAGCCGGGCGGTGGTGGCGCACGCCTTTAATCCCAGCACTCAGGAGGCAGAGGCAGGCGGATCTTTGTGAGTTCGAGACCAGCCTGGTCTACAAGAGCTAGTTCCAGGACAGGCTCCAAAACCACAGAGAAACCCTGTCTCGAAAAACCAAAAAAAAAAAAACAAAAAAAAAACAAAAAACAGACAAACAAAAGAAACAAAAAAAGATTTAGCCAGGCATGGTGATGCACCTTTAATCCCAGCACTCGGGAAGCAGGGGCAGGCGGATCTCTTTGAGTTCTAGGCCAGCCTGGTCTACAGAGTGACTTTCAGGACAGCTAAGGCTGTTAAACAGAGAAACCCTGCCTCAAAAAAAAAAAAAACCAGAAAATTGGTATATTGGAGGGGTGTGTGCTTATACATGAGTGAAGTTGCCATGGAGATCAGTGATGTGAAATCCCACTGATGCTGGAGTTAGGAGAGATTGACAGCTGTTCAAGGTGGATTCTGGAAACTAGACTCAGGCCCTCTGAAAGAGAAATACGTGTTCTTAACTGCTAAGCCATCTTGCCAGCTCCAATTCATAAACTTTTTTTTTTTTTGGTTTTTCAAGACAGGGTTTCTCTGAAGCTTTGTATCCTATCCTGGAACTAGCTCTTGTAGACAAGCTGGCCTCGAACTCACAGAGATCTGCCTGCCTCTGCCTCCCGAGTGCTGGGATTAAAGGCGTGCGCCACCACCGCCCGGCTCATAAACATTTTTAACACTAAAAATAACTAGAAGTAGGCAGTACCTACACATCTTATAACTTAGGAAAGGTGGAGTATTCTGAGCAGTTTCTTCCCCTTTTATTTCTGTTTTTTTTTTCTTTTTTTCTCTTCTCCAGATGACTTTAGTCCAAACTTCACTGTCGATTACTCCGTGTTTGAGTTGGAGGATAGGTTGGTGAGTGACTTCTCTGTCTAAGAGGGTCAGGACAAATAACAGTCAAACAGAAACTGGGAAGAGCTGAAATGTGGCTAGGTGACAAGAATGAACATCAAGGCTGAGTATGGTTGTCCACTCCTATAATCCCAGCACTTGGGTGGCAGAGACAGGAGGATTGCCATGGGTGGAAGGTCAGCCTGGTCTACGTAGCAAGTTCCAGGCCAGCCAGGACTGTTTAGTAAGACTGTCTCAGCAAGAACAGAAAACAAGTAAGAAAAGAAAACCTGGTAGATAGAAACTAGGAAGTGGGTCCCACACAACCACTTAACTGTGGCTGGAAGGGAGCCAGAACCCAGTGGCTTAAGGACACGTGAAAGAGGGGCAGTCGAGGGACTTGTGGAATGGAATACATAGATAATCCATGCTGGCACTGGACCCAGACAATCCCTGACCTTAAGTTTTGGTCATGTGGGGTTGGGGGTGAGGTAGGAGGCTTACTGGAAGGAAGAGAACGTCTGTGGGGGATGTTAGATGGAAGGAAGAGATGATGACTATTTCCCAACCCTACCGAGGTCAGAACGGGTTGGAGAAGGAGGCGACCACAGAGGCAGTGGAGACCACCATTAGTCTCCACACAGAACTCGCGGACCCTCAGAATCCTGTGACAACGAGACCAGTGACGACGAAGCCAGTGACTACAGAGCCAGTGAGTCAAATGGGGATTAAGGAGGAGGGCAGTGTGGCTGACTCTCACCCTGACAGATCCCAGGCCTGAGACCTTGAATAAACAGAGGGTGGGTTCTGGTAGAGGAGAGAACCAATGGTTAATACTTCCACGTAGGTATTCCAATTTGGTTTCCCTGCGCTGTGCTGAAACACTGACTTGGGGAGGAAAAGGTTATTACAACGCCCAGGTCACACACCCAGGGCAGGAACTCAAGCCAGGAGCTGCAGCACAGACTTGGGAGGCACACTGCTTACTGGCTTGCTTCCATGACTCTCTCAGCTTGCTCTTTTATATCATTGGCCCACAGTGGGCTGGCCCTTTCCGTATCAATCATTAATCAGGAAAAGTCCCCCAAAGACATCCCCACAATCCAATCTGATGGGGTCAACTCCTCAGATGCGGTTCCATCTTCCCAGGCGACTCTGTTGTGTCAACTAACCAGCAGAACCGGTATCACACTTGGGCCACACCACACGTGCGTGCGCGGAGGCCGGAGGACTTTGGGGAGTCAGTGTGTCAGGATTGAGTGGCACATGCTTTTACCTGCTGAGCCGGCCCAGATTTTGTTTTAGATACAACTTAAGACTAAGATAGCTTTTGCTTGTTAGGTGTTCTGAAAGGAAGAAAAAAAAAAAGGAAGACTAGTTATTAGGAGAGAGAAAGCTGTAGAGGGAAGAGAAGCAGAGTGAATAGCTGGGTTTGGTGACGAGGGTATGATAGAAGGAAAGTTTACAGAGCAGGACAGTATGAATCAAAACATACGCACAAGGGTTGGGCTGCAAAGGAAATTCAAGAATTAAGTTTTTGCCATGTGGGGTTGGGGACAGGAGTCTTCCTTGCAGGACAGGGTGATGCAGAGAAAAACTCTAAACAGGCCATTTGTGGGGGGGTACTGGATGGAAGCAAGACCAGCCTGAGTGACATAGCAAGACTCTATTGGGGGAAAATGGTCAGGCGTGGTGACACATGCTTTTAATTCCAGCATTCAGAGCCAGAGGCAGGGGTATCTCTGTGAGTTCCAGGTCAGTTTGGTCTGCAGAGCAAGTTCCAGGGCAGAGAGAGATAAATAATAGACTTTGTCTTGTCTTAGAAAACTTTTTTTTTTTTTTTGAGACAGGGTTTCCCTGTGTGACAGTCCTAGCTGTCCTGGAACTAGCTCTTATAGACCAGGCTGGCCTCAAACTCACAGGGATTCACCTGCCTCTGCTCCGGAGTGCTGGGATTAAAGGCGTGCGCCTCCACTGCCCGAGTCAGAAGACTGTTTTTGGCAGTGCAATGGCTCATTAAATAAAGGCACTTGCTAAGAAGCATGAGGACCTGGGTCAAGTTTGCTCCCTTGAGACCTGCTTGGTAGGATAGGAGAGATTCCAAGAGTTGTCCTTTGACCTCCACACATGTAACATCCCATGCCCTCCTACCTAAATAAATAAATGTAAATATGCTTAAAGTTAGGGACAAATAGATGGTCTGAAGTGTCAGGCTGGACTTTGGGTTGATACACAATGGGGTAAACCCTCCAAGTGGGGTGAAGACAATGGAATCAAAAGTTAGGAAAACTCTTCATCTGACTAAATGCAAGATGCATAGTGGAAAAGTTGATGCTGTCCAAGAAATACCCGATAAAGGGCTGGACTAGGGGAATGGCATGTAAATTGAGAGCAGAAGAATAAAGTTAGAAGAAAATGCTTCTCTTTAGTAGTAATCTTATAAAAGAAAAAAGGGAGGGGAGTTAAAATAACTTGCAGACTTTAACTATGTTTGGGAGGACCAGAGAGATGGCTCAGACGGTACAGATGTCTGCCACAGGATGATCTGAATTCGATCCCCAGGACCCGTGTGATGGAAGGAAAGAACGAACCTTCACGTTGTCCTCTGACCTCTCCACATATACACACATACATACACCAAAACACACATGTACATATGAAATAGAAATAGGATCTAATAAACATGTTTGGGAAATGGTTGACCAAGATGGGAACTCTTGGAGGCCAGTGTGGCTTAGGTTGGAAGTGATAATTTTGACAGCCTGTGTGGGTGTTCTGAAGGCAGCAAACTAGATCAGGAGTAGAGACCTAAGGGCAAAGTTACAGTTGTGAAAGTAGGAAGGCCAGTGACTCAGTCAGTGGAGGAAGAGAAATCAATCAAAGAAAAGGAAGAGGCAGGCAGACAGCCAACTTTAGAGAAAACTTGATATAATCAGTCAAAAGCTACCAAGAGCCCAAAACCTACCTCAAACTAAGGAAGGCTCATGTACATGCTTTTAATCTCAGCATTCAGGAGGCAGAGGCAGGAAGATCTGAGTTCGAGTCTAGCCTGTCCTACACAGTGAGTACTAGTAAAACTAGAGCGATGTAGAGAGGCCCTGTCTGAAAAAACAAAACAATAAAAGAAAGAGGAGAGCAGGGAGAGAAGAGATTGGGGGTAGCTCAGCGGTAGCGCTCTGGTACAGCATTTGTAAAACTCTGGTTTTCATCCCTATGGGGGTATTGTGATGATGAACATTATGAGGAAATGTAGAAAATATAGACCCATCTGAAAAATATGAAATTAAAAACATAAAACAAATTAAAAAAATAAACGTAAAAAAAACAAAAAAAAATAAAAACATAAAACAAAACACCAATGACTATTAAGGGCAACGCAACAGGACTGAAAACAAGCAGTTGAATACAAATGAGAGGAACCTGCAGGACTGACAGCAAAGCCTGACACTAAATCTCCCAAAGGTTTTAAATGCACAGTAGGTTCTCTGTAGGTGGTAAGCCCCTCGTACATGCACGAACGTAATAATGTCTCATTTATAACCCCCAAAGCGCCTACCACAGTGTCTAGCACAAAGTCATGCACACAAAAGATAAAACATCGAATGTCATTGAGAGTCATGGCCTCCTAAGTAGGAAGAATTCTTTACAGCGATGGGGAGGAGGGCTGAATCTCCTTTGAGATCAGAGGTAAGGGAAAAGGGGGTTAGTGTAAGGAGGTGGCTATCTTCCTGGAGGGGGAATGGGAATTGTTAGGAAGGGTGACAATGACCTCTTGTGTGTGTGTGTGGGGGGGGATGTTTTAGCAGATTCCAGATCAGAATGATGCCATGTCCAGTCTGCAGAGTTCTGTGTCCTGTCTTCTCTTATGGACCCTCCTTCAAGGGGCGCTGCACTTTATGTAGAAGGTAAGAGGGCAGCCACAGGCTTTGGTGGGGTGCTATGAAACAATTCTTACCAACCTGCTCAGTTCTCCTATGCTTAAGGAAAGAAGCAGGATCCCATTTAGAAAATATCTAATTATCTAATCTTAAAATTTGGAATGAGTTGAAACAAAGACTTGTAATGCCATTCGTTTATTCTGGTCTGGGAGGACTTTCAAGACCTCCTAGAAGATAGGCAGGCTGAATGGAGAAGCCTTTTTCCAAGCTTTCAACAAGCCTGGGAAAATCAGGGCTGAGTCTGCCCAGGTTTGAAGTTATGGCAGGTGCCAGAGGTCAAAATGGGTGTGTCCTACAACCCTGTAGAGCCAAGAGGCAAAGTTCAGCAGGAGGAAGGAGGCATGAAAGGGACACATCTTTCTCAACAACGAATGGAGAATCCATCTTAGAACATGAAATCTGTGGGGTCTGCATAAGCAATGGGAGCAAGGGGAGACTCCCTTGGCCTCCTGTTCTGGTTTCTTGGATCTACTGCTTTCCTGTGTATGTATAGAGAGTGTGGAGCTTAGGAGGCCGGAGCCCCCAGAGTTCTAGGAATGGGAGTTTGCTGGGGCTTGGGAACCGCCGGGCATTTGTGTTGGGAACTGAACTTAGTCAGCCAGTTGTCAATAATGGGCGGTGGTGGCACAGGCTTTAAACCCAGCACTCGAGAGGCAGAGGTGGGCAGATCTCTGAGAATCCAAAGCCAGCCTGGTTTACAGAGCGAGTTCCAGGACAGCCAAGACTACACAGAAAAATCCTGTCTTGAAAAACAAAACAAAACCAAGTGTGTCCTCTTAAACATCAAGTCAGCCACCTGATTCTGTTTTTATTCCCCTCCCTCCAGGTGAGAGAAGGCTGCTATGACTCTTTGGACTAGAGTTTGGCAAGAAGCTGGTTGAAAAATAAAATAGTTTTGTCTACTTCTTAATGACGGTTCTAAAGTCAACAATTACAGCAAAACTTGGGGGAGCATGAAGGGCAGAATAGAAAGAGAATTAGAAACGAGTGTAGTGGTGCATGCCTAGAATTCAGGAGGCAGAGGCAGGCACATCTCTTGAGTTCGAAGCCAGCCTGGTCTGCAAAGAGAGTTCCTCCAGGGTAGCCAGGACTACACAGAGAAACCCTGTGTGTGTGTGTGGGGGGGGGGGGGACACAAACCAAAACAACAAACAAAAAACCCTTGAATTAGATGTCAATTAATTAGGAGGAATCATACCCCATAAATAAACCTAGTTTGGGGTAGAAAAGAGAATACTCACAGATAACAGGTTTATTCTGAGCCTGTAATTCTAATTTTTTCTTCTTCTAATCTTTCTTTTTTCTAACAGTCTCCCGTGGCTCAGGCTGGTCTTGAACCCATCTCCTACATCCAACCTCTAGGATTACAGCAGGAATAAGACATCACACCCAGCTTAATTATATTTTATATGACATTGTCTTGAAACTTTGGGGAAACAGTGCTGAGGTTTAATTTAGAAACTCTTTTCCTTTTTCTAAAATAACCACATTGCTAAATATAAGTAAAGAGTATTCAAATATATTTAAAATAATAATGCACTCTCCAAACCCCGACTTTATTCCTGTTCAATTTTTTCTTTTGGTAAGAATATGCATTTTAAAAAAATTAGAGTCTCTGTCCTCCCGACCCTAGTCAGAACTAGAGTGCCCCCTTGCGATCTCTCTGTTGTCTTCAAATTACAGGGTCTTGTTCTTCATTGTTTGCTTTAACTCTGACTTGATAAAACGGCTGTTAGCGTCTATGGGTGACTCTGGACTTGCTCTTTTCCTTCCTCAATGTCTTTCCAGTCTTCTCAAAGGAACAAATAAGCTGGCGCCAAATAAAGCCATAACCTTGAGGATCAAGGACCTACTACTCTACTCTGTTCCCTGTGCTGAGAATCAGAGAATTGAGTTGAAGGGTCCCAAGGGCCCGGGGCAGAAAAGTCAGGGACGAGTTCGGCTTTGACCCCAGAGTCTTGGCGGGCTGGCATCTGAGATGGTAACGTGCGTGGCGGGTTATGTAAGAACCGGCTGGAGAAGCCGCTCGGCGGGAGCCCCGGGAGAGAACGCGCTGTTCCGGCTGCAGTCCCCACCCTCCTCGCCCAGCAGGGCAGGAGGCACCCAACTATCAGCCGAGGAGGGGAGGATGAAAGAGTGGGGAGTCACGAGGGCGAGCCGCCGACACGGGAACGGATGCCCGGCGTCACACGTCCGTTGTCACACACGTTGCGGACACGAGTTGCTGAGAGCTCCCACGTGCTGCGCCCGTGCGCGGAGGCGCTCGGAGGGGCCCACGTCCCGAGGCACCGCCTCCGTAGCATGGTCTCGCTCTGCACACTCCAGCCGCGCAGTCTCCCGCGCAGCACCGTCCTATTTAAGGCTATGAGCTCCACCCTTTTCCGCCCCTTGCTTCATTTTCACTTTTTTCCATCCTCCTTTTTATCACCGGAGGAGCCGCATGTACGGGTGGAGCATCGACTGCTTCCCTTCCAGCCAATCACCACTTGGCTGCTTCTCTATTGGCCGAGCCCCCGCGTGCGGTAGCAAATGGGCTGTGAGTGTCTGTATCTAGAGTCACATGTTGCCGGCAAGCTGTCCAATGGGAGCACGAGGTCTGTGTACGCAGGGGGAGGCACGTGCAGAGCCGCACGTGTCTGGGAGGGGGAAGGGGCGGGACCCACAGAGTGAGGCGGAGGTGGGTCGGCTAGACCGGCGCAGATGGTGGAAGAAGGAGCGGGGTACTGAGCCCGAGCGGGGCTGAGCCGGCTGACCCAGGTGAGCGGACCAGAGCGGAGCGCTCCGGAAGACTGACCCGGACGGAGGGAATGGGCTTGTGAGACCACAGATCTGGGTTTTGGGAGGAATTGCATTACCTGAAAGGTGCGACCATAGGCTGACCGGCCGCAGGGCACCTGACGGTGAGGGATGCGAAAGCTACAGAGACGGGTGTCCATGGGGACGGCCCCCATAGGGACCTTAGGTGGGTTTTGGTGCGCAGACGAGCCACTAGCGGGTGGCTTTTTAGGTCGATAAGCTCACTATGAGGTCCGGAAGGGAACAGCCCAGAACAGCAGACGGAGGGCAAGGTGTAAAGTCAGGTATTCACTCTGAACCCAAAGGAAGAAAGGCTGTGTGGGGTCAAGAGCCGTGGGCCGGCGGTCTGGATTTTGAATGGGGGTGAAAAAGCAAGTTTTTTTTTTTTTTTTAAGGTTTCTGTTGAGAACGCCCCAGTCTCCCAGGCCCTTTCCTAATCCTTTTGACTCTGATTTCAGAGTCTCTCGCTTTGCTTTTCAGTTGCGGGCTCTGAGCTCTGGTACTACAGGAGCCGCTCGCTCTTCAGCCTCTGCTCCTGGACCTATGGAATCTCCATCTAGCGTTTCTTCTTGTTCCTCCTCCTCACTCTCCTCGTCATTTTCCACATCCCCTGTGAACAGTGACTTTAGCTTCTCCTCTGATAATGAGAGGGAAGGCAAGAGCGCCCATGGGCTCAGGCCAGAAGCTGTTGGGCAAAGGGGAGGTGCCCAGCCCAGTCCAGGTCCTATCCGCTGCAGACATCGACCCAGGGTTTCTGGTAACCAGCATACAGCATCTCATCTGGAACAGCGAGGATCTAGGGTCAAAAGATCAAGAGACGGGGAACTGGAGACCAGTCTACACACCCAGGGATGTATCATCACAGAGGGAGACCTGCTGTTTGCTCAAAAGGTAAGAGAAAGCAGGAGACAGTAGTGCAGCGTCAAGCACCTAATTGGTAAGGACCCTGAGGGGATGGATGGTACTGGCTGCCAGATATGTGACAGCAGAAAAATCCCTGCTGTCTTTTTGCTGTTTTCCTACAGTGTAAAGAACTCCAAGGGTTCATACGGCCCCTCACAGATCTACTGAACGGACTGAAAATGGGCCGCTTCGACAGAGGTAATAAGCTGATTGATTATGTTTCTGGGCTCGGGGGATAGTATGCCCTTCTCTGTGTGAAATGTACGATTATTAAATCTTCTTTGGGATCTGGGCTATTCCCTGTTTTCATCTGCAACTTGATTTCTTTGGGTGAATCGATTTTAACCCCCATCTTTCTCTGTCTTTACACCTACCTCAATCCTCACCTCTGCTTTCTCTCCTGCTGGGGCATGAACCTAGTGCCCTGTGTGCACTAGACAAGCCCTCTGCCACCGAGCTACATTCCACCCCTCTGACCACCTTCTCCTTCACCTTAGGATTGAGTAGCTTCCAGCAGAGTGTGGCCATGGACCGGATCCAGCGGATAGTGGGTATTTTACGGAAGCCTCAGATGGGGTAAGTCTCCCTGTGTCTCTCTTCCTCTCCTCAGTATCTCATTGGGGGAGGCCTGTACAATTCTCCATGTCTCTTTTTTCATACTTAGTGACTTTTACCTTTTCCACAGAGAACGTTACCTAGGAACGTTGCTGCAAGTGGAAGGGATGTTAAAGACTTGGTTTCCTCATATAGCTGTCCAGAAGTCATCGTTAGGAGGGAGCAGGCATCAGATAAACAAGGTAAGAACCTCAAAACTAAGGAAGAGATGGGAGAAAAATCAAGAACTGGACTGTGTATGGAGAAATGTGTTCCTCTTCCCATTTCCCTTAAGGTTTTTGTTGGTGGTGGTATTTTTTTGTTTTTTTCAGGGAAAGGAATGCCCAACTTTGTGCATTCCTGTACTTTTTATATTTAGCTTAGATGTTGTTTCTATTTTGTTGGGATCTCCTGTTGCAGCTTATCTGCTTTCTGAAGATACAGATGACTCTCACAGGAAGACGTCTCAGTTTTCCTCTACAAATCCTTCCTGCGGCTCTCCAAACCCTTACCCTCTCCACCTTTTGACTCCTGTCAAAATATTCTAGGTCAAACCTTAGGCGTCTATAATTGTGGGTTTTTTTTTTTAATTTGCTTTTGTTTTTTTCAAGACAAGGTTTCTCTGTGTAGCTCTGGCTGTCCTGGATCTCACAGAAATCCACTTGCCTTTACCTCCCTCGTGCTTGGATTAAAAGCAATTGCCAACATGTTCAACTAAGTCAACTATAATTTTTAATGATGTGAAAATAATTGACTGAAAAGTAACAGGATATGCCTCATGGAGAACTAAAACATGGAAAATGAGGATCTTCAACTCAGAAATCAGGATGTTAATTCACTTACTCTTCTCTGGCTGGGGTGTGATTTATTAGAGTGTTCTCCAGCCATAACAGGCCTGGGTTTGATTCTCTTAACACCACAGGGGGAAAAAAAGACTTTAAAGAAACTAAACAGGAATCACTGTGTAGATAGTGAGAACTGTAGGATTGTTTTAGCTTGTCTGTTTCTCGTGTTACACAGTCGCCTATCAGCTGTTGGTTGGAGAAATGGAAGCATTACGTGATTGCTAAAATTTTTACTTAATCATCACCTGGCAAGAACACATCTGTTGCACAAAACAATGTGTGTTTGCACTGCACAATGCGTTCTCACGGACAGCAAAGGTCCAGGCTAAGTGGAGCTAATCTGTAAGCTTTCTTAACCATTGGTTGTTTCTCTTCTGTCCCTACTCTCCAGGACTTTCCAAGCCCCCACAGTGACTCAGCTGCCTCCTCTCCTGCACCTCTCATGGAGAAGCTGGGCCAAGCACAGCTAGGACATGTAGTGTTGAAACCAAAGCAGCCTTGGCATCTGGCAGAGTGGCCAGCTATGAACCTCACCTGGAGTCACAGCCCTCCCATTTGTAGCCCTCCCCTCAGTCCCCAAGGCTCCACCTCCAGCCACAGTTCCCAAGGCACTGCAGCCAGCATTGGTGTCATCCTTGTGCTCCAGAAGACAGGAACACCCTTCACCCACTCTGCCCCCGGCACTCCGATCCCACCAGCTGCACTGTCTCCTGTCAGCCCTGGTGATCTGAAGAAACCATCTGGAGAGGGGCCTTGTTGCCACAGTTTGCCAGTAACGCTGCCTTCAGACCGGAGCTGCACCCTCTCTGCCCCTGCTCTCCCTGCCACAGTCAGAGAGACGGCTGCAGGACACCTGGAGCCACAGCTGACCAGCCATCCTGCCGGTGGCCCTGGTCCTTAGCCCCTGGCTCAGGCTTTACAACGTCTTCTGAGTTCCCGTTTGTGTAAATATTATGTTTATGTGTATTTCTTTTTTTTTTTTTTTTTACTTTTAATGTATTTGTGGTGAGGAAAAAAATAAATCCTTTCTGATTAAAGACATTTTTTTACCTAAACACTTTGCTGACTGTGGTAAATTGAAAACTTTCAACCTTGAATACCTTAAATCTCACCCACTGGGCTTCTGAAAAGCAGATAGAAGTGTTTGTGAATACAAGCTCCAAAGGTAGAGTCTGGGTGGGATAATACCAAACCTGTGAGGGACACTGTGGCTGCTGCTTCCCTCGGGAACACCCTTGGCACACTTAGAGGTTCAGAGCTGAGGTGGGTTTGTTGTTATTTTTTTCTGTTCACACTCAGGAGCTAGTACCTTTCTCTTTGTCTCTCCCTGTGGAACCTTCCAGCTGGCTAGACAAGCAGGTTCTTCTGCTTTGGGGCAGCTCTGCTTTGATGGGAGCTGTTGATGCTTGGGGGTAAATGCATGTATATAACCTGCTGCCTGCAAAACAGCCACTAGGATTTTTTTTTTAAAAAAAAAACTTTATTTAACTTCATTTCATGCACATTGACAGCTGTGAGCTGCCATGTGGGTGCTGGGAATTGAACCCGGGTCCTCTGGAGGAGCAGTCAGTGCTCTTAACCACTGAGCCATCTCTTCAGCCCCCCAGCCACTGCGATTTTGAAGAGGGCATAGTGCCCTAGAATTGTTGAGGTCAGGATAGGGGAACTCAGACTGGGTCAGACATAGCAGACTCAAACAGTTGTATCTGCCAAAGGCATGCTAGGCCGAGGAAAGCTACTCAGTGTTGCTGAGTGAAGCCCATGTATGGATGGTGCGGTAGCCTTCTCGTGTCTTTCTTTCGTTCTGATTTGTCCCAGTTTCTACCAAAACCATTTCCTCGCTCATCCTCGGCCTTTCCAGTGCATCGGATAATTCTGTCATCTTAGTCACTGCTTCTCAGCTGTTCAGCATGCTTCTCACTAGTCACACAGCTTTTCCCATTGCTGGTAAATAAATCGCCTCCCTTTATTTCAGAAAATATGACCTCCTTCTAAGCAAAACCTTATTTGTGTAGCTCAGGTTGGCCTAGAAATCAAAGTTACCCTGGTGTCCCAGGAATTAGAGATGTGAAATACCACTCTTAGCTCCATTTGTGACTTTGATGGAGCCATTATATATATATGTTTATATTATATATTAAAAATATATATTATATATATGAGAAATATATATGTTTTTCGAGACAGGGTTTCTCTGTGGCTTTGGAGCCTGTCCTAGAATTAGCTCTTGTAGAGCAGGCTGGCCTCGAACTCACAGAGATCCGCCTGCCTCTGCCTCCTGAGTGCTGGGATTAAAGGTATGTGCCACCACTGCCTAGCTTTATATATATATATATTTTGAGACAGGGTCTTACTATGTAGCCCTGATTGGCCTAAAACTTGCTACATAGACCAGGCCTGCCTCTCCCTCTGCCTCCTGAGTGCTGGGGTAAAAGGAGGCATGAGCCACCATGCCTGACTCATTTTATTTATTTTAAATTTACTTATTTTTATTTTATGTGCATTGGTGTTTTTCCTGCATGTATATTTATGTGAGGGTGTTGGATCCCCAGAACTAGAGCCACAGACAGTTTTGAGCTGTCAAGAGGGTGTTGGAATTGAACTCGGGTCCTCTGGAAGAGCAGTCAGTGTTCTCAATGTTGAGCCAGCATTCCGGCTCCTTGCTTGATTTTTTTAAGATTTATTTTTATTTAATGTGTATGATTATTTGCCTGCATGTATGATGTATACATGTGCATGCCTGGTGCCCAAGAAGGTCAGAAGAAGGCATTGGATCCCCTAGAACTGGAATTAGATGTTTGTGGGTCACCATGCAGTTGCTAAGGACTGATCGCAGGTTCTCTGCAAGTGTTCTTACTGTGGAGCCATCTCTCTTTCCAGCCCCTTGGATTTTCTCTTGTTTGTGAAACTTTTGTAATTTATATTTGCTATTCATAATAATTACTTCCTGGTGTCATGGGTCCTTAGCCTTACTGAAAAGATTGCTTGAGCCTACCCATCCTCTTCCTCTTCTTTGCTCTCCAGTCCTTCCCCAGTCCCACTTCCAGTCAGCATTTGGGACTGAACTTTGGACCCTGTGCACGCTAGGCAAGTGCTCTACCACAGAACCACCCCCCCCCCCAGTACACTCCATAATTCCTCCTCGCCACAGCAGTTAGCTGCCAGCAGTCCAGCTTATGCTACTTTCATTTTGCTGCACTTCCAAAGTAACTAAGGAGCCCGCAAAATGAGCTCTCCGGGGTTTTACGTTCACCTTCCCCTGATCAGCAGTGAAACCCAGGCGCCTTGGCAAAGGCTGCACACTGCACACTCAGCCACCTGACACAGAGCTGCTCTGAGCCCTTCCTCCTTCCATCTTAGACACAGTCCCACTCTCCTCTTACCCACCTGGCACTCTTTCCAGGTTTCTTAACGGCACCAGTGCCACCTACCCCAGAGTGTGGGTGTTCTCTGTGGTGACAGTCTTGGCTTTTCTCTACGTACAGCTAGACATGTGAACTTTGTGGTTTTTATTGCTTTTATTGTTTCCTCAAATCACACAAATGCTAAATCTTCATTTCCTGCTCTAATGTTTGTCCTAAGAAGGCACACTGAAGGTATGTGTTTTTGCTGGGGAGTTTTATTCATATACTGTTTATACAAAAATTACTGAAGGGACCGGTAACATGGCTCATGGCCTTTATCTAAAGACCCTTGTAGGCAGGGGCTGGAGAGATGGCTCAGAGGTTAAGGGCATTGACTGTTCTTCTAGAGGTCCTGAGTTTAATTTCCAGCAACTACATGGTGGTTCACAACTGTCTATAGTGGGATCTGGTGCCCTCTTCTGGATGCAGACAGAACACTGTATACATAATAAACAAACAAACTAAAAAGAAGACCCTTCCTGACCAGGCCTTCTATTTTAAAGACTGGTGTGCATGTGCTTGCATGCTCGTGTGTGAATGAACGTGCAGATGTATGTACAGGCGCATGTTCCTGTGCGTGTGATTCCAGAGGAGGCCCTTAGATTTCTCAGAGCTGTAGAGGTATTTGTGAGATGGCTGTGTCTGGCTTATCATCTGGTTTCTGGGATACCAATGGTTAGGTACCACTGCTCTTGGCAGCCTAGCCATCTCTCCAGGGTTCCACACTTGTTTTTAAAACAGTCTAAGCTGGTCTGGGAGAAGTTGTGGACCTAAGGATGACCTTCAACTTTTGATCTTCCCGAGAGCTGAGCTCACATTGCCACCATACCCAGTTTTATGGGGTGCTAGGGAGTGTACCCATGGCTTTGTGCATACTTAGCAAGCACTTTATAGAGCTACCTCCCCAGCCATAAAGTGCTAAAATTTTAATCAAGTCTTTTGTTTGTTTTTTTCAAGACAGGGTTTCTCTATGTAGCCCTGGCTGTCCTAAAACTCATAATGTAGACCAGGCTGGCCTCAGATTCAGAGATCTGCTGCCTGTGCCTCTAGCTCCTGAGTGCTGGGATTAAAGGCCTGTGCCACTGCTGCTACCACCACACAGCTACAAATTTTCAGTTAATTAAAAAATTTTAGATTTACTTTGTGTTTTGCCTGCACGTATGTTCTTCGTAGGTATGCCTTGTGCCAAAGGAGATCAGAAGAGAGCATCAGATGCCCTGCGACTGGAATTACAAAGGGTTGTGAGCCACCACGTGGGTGCTGGAAACTAAACACTGGTCTTCTGCAAGAGTGCTCTTAATTGCTGAGCCATTGCTCTGGCCCTCAATAGTTCAAAAAGAACAACAAAATATTCCTGTAATGTGTACATATGTGCCTACGTGGGTGGGTATGTGCTTATTCAGAGACCAGTGAACAACTTGTGGGAGTTGGTTCTCTCCTACTGTGTGGAATCCAAGTTCAATTCCCTGCACATACATGGTAACTCACACCCAAGGATGCAATGCCCTGCTCTGACCTCCATGAGCACCAGACACATACGCAGTACACAGACATACATGTAGGCAAAACACTTGTACACATGTAATAATAAAATAAACCTTAAAACAAAAAATCACAAAGTACCTTTGTATCTTATCCCATTTGATTCAGATGACAAGTTTTGTGAGTTTTACAAATAAGGAACCAGGTTGAGAGTTCGTGTCTCACAGATCCAGATTGTAAATATTTGTAGGTCACATATCCCCATTTCGTCTATCCAGCTCTACCACGGTAGCCCAAACTAGTCAGACACAATCAGCAAATAAACAGGATAATATTCCAATATTTTTATTAATACAAAAAAGTTCAGGGCTGGAGAGATGGCTCAGAGGTTAAGAGCATTGCCTGCTCTTCCAAAGGTCCTGAGTTCAATTTCCAGCAACCACATGGTGGCTCACAACCATCTGTAATGGGGTCTGATGCCCTTCTCTGGCCTGCAGGCATACACACAGACAGAATATTGTATACATAATAAATAAATAAATATTTTTTAAAAAAGTGCAGACGCCTAGTTGAGTAACTTGTTCTGATGGCTCTCAGAAACTAAAACTCTGTCCACAGTATTATGTGGCTGTCCATATAATTAATTTTGCCCTTATTATATGCTACCCAGTCTAAATTTGTGTCTACTTACTGTCTTTCAGTAGTGCAAGAGACACTGGAATAGCAGCAACAGTGCCTGGCAGAGGCTAGATATTTCAGTAGAAGTTTGTGGACCAGCTCAAGAGTATCCCAGTCTAGCTTCGCTTTGGTACCCTGGACTGGGCTGAAGATTGGTGCGAGTATCTGCTAACTGATGACGCTCTGAATAGACGGCCCAGGGGTTAAGAGAATTTATTTCTCCTGCAGCGGACCTGAATTCAGTTCCCAACATCCGCATGGCAGCTCACAACTCCAGCTCCAGAGATCCAACACCGCTCCTATCTTTCAGGTTCCTAAGGCACATGGTGCATGTACATACACTCAGGTACACATATATACACATAAAATAAAAACAAATCTTTTAAACAAATCACTGGTGAGAATGCATCTGTGTGTGTTGCAGGGAAGTTTTTCTGCACTCATTACTTCTGAACTCATGTAAATAAGCGTACCTGAATATGTGGGGAGAGCATACACACAAGGTTGTCAAGACAGTGTGAAAGAAATGAGATATTTTTACCAGGTCTTATTAGGCAACAAATGACAACATTGGCATTTAAAAACAAACAAGCAAACAAAAAACAAACAAACAAAACAGTTTGATTTTAAATCCTCCAGGCGTTTCACATTTCTTTCTTTCGTGATTTCACTTGATTTAGTGAAGTGGCTTACGTAGGTGATGAAATTGGAAGCTCACGGTACGTAATTTCTCTGTCTTAACTTTTAGGCATATGAAGGGTGTGAATCTGTTCTTCACCGGGAGAGCAGATCTGTCCTTTTAAAATAGAAAGCATTCTGAGGACGCATCCCCTTTCCCATCCAGGAAAACGAAACCTCTCAGATCTAGTAAAGGTTTAGCGGGATTAGAGCTACGGATCGGGCTGACCTTCTCGCAGACCCGAGGACCGCAGCTCCGCAGGAGAGCGAGGACGCAGTTTTTGACTTTGCCAGATGTCGAGTCCTGCGCGTGCGCTCAGAAGCCGCGAACCTTTGCAAGGACAGGTCGTAAGCACGGTTTCCGCAACCGACTGCGTTCTTCGGCGCCGCTTCCTCCCGCCGCGAGGATGCCGTAGCTTCCGCTTCCGCTTCGGAGCGTCCTGGAGTCCAAGTGCTACAGCCACAGGTAAGGAGCTCGCGGCGGGGACTGTGAGCAAAGCGGGTGTGGCGGGAGGGCAGGATTTCGCGTGGCGGCCTGGTCACTAGACACGGACCAAGACTCCTTTCCAAGGTGCAGCGAAAACCTCGTTTTTCAAGTTTTGAGAAAGTCATTATGTAGTCCTGGCATATACTATGTAGACAAGACTGTCCTCTAACTCACGGAGATCCGCCTGCCTCTGCCTCCCGAAGGCTGGGATTAAAGGTGTGCACCTCCACCCTCACCCCCTCCCCGCTTTTAAAATTACCTTTATTTGTTTACTTATTTGTTTGTGCTGCGGGGCGGGGGGGGGTGGTGAGAAAGTCAGAACAACTTGCAGGAGCTGGTCTTTTCCTTCCACCATATAGGTCCAGGGCTCGAACTCAGATCGTCAATCTTGGCTGCAAATGCCTTTACTTGCTGAGCCGTATCGCTGCTCAGTGAGAAGACGGACATTGATAACAATTCGCTTGTACTTTTTCTTTTTTAAAAAGCTTTTTTTTAAAAAAAAAATACTTTTTGCGTATGCATGTTTTGCTCGAATGTATGTGTGTGCACCACAGAAGCCAGAAGAGGACATTTGATCCTCTGGCCTGGAGTTACAGATGGTTGTGAGCTACCATGTGGGTGCTAGGAATCAAACCTGGGTCTTATTAACCACTGAGCCATCTCTCCAGACCTACTTATACTTAGTTGTTGGGTTTTTTTTTTAAGATTTATTTATTTATTATGTATACAGTATTCTGTCTGCATGTATGCCTATGCGTCAAAATAGGACACCAGATTTCTAAGATGAGAAAAATTCCTCCTACCTGTTTCCCCAATGGGTACCTGCGAAGGTTCTATCTCTAGAGCTAATAAAACTGCCTATGGCATGGCAGTATGTGACTCTGTTGGGCTTCATTTTCTTACTGATTTTCCTGTTTTCCTGTTTCCGTGCTCCTTGTCCAGCCTGTAGGTCCTGAAGAATGAAGATTTGAAAGCGAGGCCATGGCTAAACACCTGAAGTTCATTGCCAGGACTGTGATGGTTCAGGAGGGGAATGTGGAAGGTGCATACAGGACCCTGAACAGGTAAAAAAGAATCAGAGTTTTGCTTGTGGAAATGTAGGATTATCCTTTTCCCAGCTTACCCTCTCATAAACTGTTCCCAGGCTGGTCCCAGCCCAGTGTTGAGGCTTTGGACGCTTGTTAGCTCTGCAATTTCTTATTGTAAAAATGAAAATCTTCCCCAAATCAAACTTGGTGGAGCTTTTCCAGCAAGCAGTCATCATCCCTTGATGAACCTGAATTCTCTCCGAGGTTTTGGAAAGAGCCCCTAAGTCTATGCCTGCTTGTGCACATCTGTAATCTTAGCCCCTGGGAGATGAAGGCAGGAAGAATTTTGGCTACATCGACTAGACTCTGTCTTAGCTGACCTCTCCCCATCTCAAAAAAAGAAGCCTAGAAGGAACATGAAGAACAAGAAGAGGCAGAGTGCATGAAAACTAGCTGAGACAGTTTCTGTGGAATATGGCTATTGGGAAAGATAAATTCCTTTGTGATTTTGTTCATCTCATGTAGCTCAGGCTGGCCTAGAATAGGCAGTATAGCTAAGGAAAACCTTGACTCCTGATCCTCCTGCCTTTATCTTCCAAGTCCTGAGACTTGTCCATACCACTTATGTACCCGGCTAGAAAAGGTGAATTCTGGTTTTGTTCTTGGAGAAACCAGTCAAGATGAGAAGGCATCACAGGTTCAAGGGAGAGTTACAGCATAAGCGAAAATCCATAGGTAGGGGCTGGGGAGATGGCCCCATGGCAGGGAGTGCTTGCTAGGGGTTGGGGAGATGGTTCCATGGCGGAGAGTGCTTGCTAGGGGCTGGGAGATGGCCTCATGGCAGAGAGTGTTTGTTGTTCTTTGAGAGGGCCCAAGTTCAGTTCCTAGCACCCACAACTGATGTCAGAGATCTGATACTCTCTTCTGCCTTCTGCAGGTACCCACACAGATTACATAAACAAAAATATATACATACCTTTACTAAAAAAATGTCATTCCTGGGACTGGAGAGATGACTCAGAGGTTAAGAGCATTGACTACTCTTCCAGAAGTCCTGAGTTCAACTTCCAGCAACCACATGGTGGCACATAACCATCTATAACAAGATCTGGTGCCCTCTTCTGGCCCGCGGGCGTACATGCAGACAACACTATATATAATAAATAAATCAATCTTTTTTAAAAAAAAAAAAAAAGTCATACCTGGAGAGGAAGGGCTCCCTGGAAATGTATTTGAACACTAGACTGTTGGATAGATAGTTTCGTTGTTTTGGTTTTTTGAGACAGGGTTTCTCTATGTATCTCTGACTGTCCTGGAACTTACTCTGTAGACCAGGCTAGCCTCAAACAGAGATCTACCTGCCTCTGCCTCCCTGATGCTGGGATTAAGTCATGTGCCACCTAATGGTGCCATACTGCTCTATTCTTTTAGGCTTCCCTCATCTGCATGCCTTATTTACAGTTTTTATTTATTTTTAATTATGTGTATGTGTGTGGGTATGTGCACTTGAGTGCAGCACTGTTGGAGGCCAGAAGCATTAGTGCCCCCTGAAGCTAGAGATCAGGAAGTTGTGAGCACTGACAAAAGTGCCAGTGAGCCATCTTTCCAGCTGTTTCTTTGTTGTGTTATAGTTTGATTTTGGGGGGGTGAATGGAATGTTGGGGTTTTTTTTGTGTCTCTGCCTGGTCTGGAACTGCCAAGTAGATCAGGCTGGCCTTGAGCTCCCCGAGACCCACCCACTCTGCCTCCAGTGCTGGGTGGGTGCCGCGTGCTTGTCTTCGTTTTAACATGAAGATGGCTTTGAAGAGAGTTTGGTGTAGCTGGCAGTACCCTGCGACCAAGTCCTGCTCCGTTTCACCTGCTGCTCATTTCCAGCAGCATTTGCTGCCTCTGTCCATTCTGTGTAATGGAGTGTGTTCCTCGTTTCTACTTTCAAATTATAAAGCAAACATGAGAAATAAAATTCTTATCATCCCCTGCCTGAAGGTGATGATCTCTTCATTGGCGTCAGGTCACAGTCTTATTTAATCATTACTAGGGGGTTGCTTGTTTAAGATTTTTCTTTAATCCCAGCACTTGATCTCTGAGTTCAAGACCAGCGTGGTGAGTTCCAGGACAACCAGGGCTGTGTCTCAAAAAATAAAACAAAAACCAATTTTATTTTATTTTTATTCAGGTGTATGTATACCTATGCCATGTGTGTTCGGGTGCCCCCAGAGGAGGTGTGGACTCCCCGGGAGCTGGATTATAATCTTGGGACTACTGAGTTGGCACGACGCTTGCCTGGCACGCTGGCGGCTCCAGGTTTCCTCCTCGGTACTCTCTAAACTGGGTGTGTTGACACACCCTTAGAATTCCAGCAGTTAGAAAGGCTCAGAAGTTCAAGGTTGGCCTTACTGTATTGCAAATTTGAGGCCTTCCTGGGATGACCTGAACCTGAATTTGATCCCCACTATGTGGATAATGGAACGGGAGAACTGAATCTTGGAAATTACCTTCTGATCTCCACTAATCCTCTAGCATGTGCATAACACACACTAAATAAATATGATAAAATGCCATCCTTCCTGGTTCTGGGTACTCTCCTAGAGAACCCAGGTTCAATTCTCAGCACCCATCTACTGGTTCACAACTGTGACTCTGGCTCCTAGGGATCTGACACCATCTTGCAACCTCTGTCAGTGCCGGGCACACACCACTTGCATACACATAAATGAAGGCAAACCCTTACACACATAAAATAATAAAATAAAAATCTTAAAGTAGATGCTGTGGGGGCTGGAGAGATGGCTCAGTGGTTAAGAGCACTGGCCTGCAGGTGTACATGCAAAGCCCTCATACATAAAATATATGTGTAGATACCTTCTACCATCTGGCCTGGTGTTATTTCAGATCTTGTTCTGAGAACTCTGTTTTCTTTCTTTTTGGGGGGCACTCTTATGTAGCCCAGGTTGGCTTCCAAATTTATCATTTAACCAAGAATAACCTTAAGTTCCTGATCCTCTTGCCACCGTCTCCTAAGTCTGGGATTACAGCTGTGTGCTCTCCCCCTTCTGCACAACTCCCTTCTCTACAGCTCTGGGAATGGAACCCGGGGCTCCATCCATACATGCCAGGAAAGCATGCTGCCAGTTTTAAGCCACTTTCCCAGCCTAAAAACCTGTTTCCTTTAGAAAATAAGTAAGTACAGAGCAGTTGGGAGTGGGACTTATACTCTCAGTTCCAGCTCTGAAGAGCGGGAGGCAGGAGGATCTTAAGCGAGAGCTGCACAAACCCTGTCTCATAAAATAAAAAGGACATGAAATACTGTTTTTTTGCTTCAATTATTAAAAACCAAAGGAAGTTATAAGTTGGTGGGGGACAATTTATATTACCTAAGAAGAGAAATAAAGTATCTAGGGATATAGCTTACTTAGTACGAAGGCATTTGGCTAGCAATAACGTAGAAAATGCCGCATGGTGGCCTGTGTCTGTGACCCTGGCATTCAGAGTGGAAACAGGAGGATCAGGTTATCCTTGGTGACACAGCAAGCCTGAGGCCAAGCTGGGCTCCAAGGAAGGAGGGAGAGAAGGAGAGAGTTGAGGGAAGGAGGAAGACTTGAGTTAGAGGTGTTCAGAAGAATAGATACAGGCCCTGGACTCAGAACCTGCGGTTTGAGCTCTTTAGGCTTCCTTACAAACTTGAAACTGTGACTTGGGAAACAGTGCAGGGACGGATTGGCAGTTCACCGTCACTTCAGAAAGCTGCACTGGTGCCCGGCAAAGTGACACAGGACTTTAATCCCAGCACTCGGGAGGCAGAGTTTCAGGCCAGCCTGGTCTACAGAGTGAGCTCTCGGCCAGCCGGGACTGTTTGAAGACTGGTTAGGGTGGTGCTTGTTTGTAATCCCAGCCAGCACTAGAGAGCCAGGCAGGACGGTAAGGAGTTCAAGGTTGTCCTTGGCTGTGTGTTACCTCAGAGGCCAGCCTGAGGTATTTAAGACGCTGTCTCAAAAACAACAAAAAAGCTGCACTTTCAGTATAAAAATATATTTTCAAAGTGGAAGAAAGCTGCGTTTCTATCTTTTTTTTTTAAAGTCTTGGAATGTTACAGAAATGTCTTATAAGTTGTATTTTAGTCTGGGGGGCAAAGTGGGCAAATACTTTGGTCTTAGTGAACTTTTCTAGGCAAGAACTTGTGAGCTCACACGTGCGAGTGGAGTCCTGGAGGGCCCGGTCCTCCCTGCCAGCCCAGTGCAGTTTCCTGACTCAGCTACCTTCACGCTTCTTTACCTCTCCTCGGCTCTTCTCTGCTGTCTTCCCTTTGGGTCACCGTTCTGTACACCTGTCTCACTCCAGTCTTCTCCTCAGCTTTCTGACGGTTGTGGTTTAAAAATAAGTCACTCATTTTGTGATCTGATTACAGTAGTCGCCAGTGAGGAGAGAGGCTGTGTTGGGAGCACAGGGAGCCAGCCTTACAAAGGAAAAGCGTGGCTGGCCTGGGAGACTGCTGCAAAATGCCTGTTATATAATGGGCTCATCAGAGCCCTGAGATGAGGCTATGGAGAGTGGGGGTTGCTAGGAAGCCTTGTGTGATTGGCTGGCCCCCAATCCAGGAAAGACAAGCACACTGGAAGCGTGCCCGGTTGACCCCTTTTCCTCCTGATGGGCCCGCTTCTGGGCTCCTGTCTACACGCCAGTTGACGTAGGCTGGCTACACTGACATGTGAATCCGCCACCCCCAGCTTCCCCTTGTGAGCAGCACAGCTCCTTTACATAATCAGTTGAATTTTACTAAAACTGGCAGCTGGTTTCCCTTTCATGTAAGGTTGCCAGGCACCAGAACTCCAAGCTGATCTGTTTACACTAAGCTCTTGGTGTGGTAGCCCTTGAACTACCTTTGCAAAAAGAAACGGCACTAGTAACACCTTCCCCAGAGTGCTACCATGGAGCTACATCCTCGCCCTCTGAACTGGGAACTAGAGCCAGGGGCCCTCTACCACTAAACTACACCAACAGCCCTATTGCTATTACTTGAATTCTTTGGGTTTTTGTTTTATGTGGTTGGTTTTAGGGTTTTTTGAGACAAGGTCTCATGTATCCTAGGCTGGCTGTGTGTATCTTTGAACACCTGCCCTTCAGGTGTGCAACACCACTCTGGGCTACATGGTACTGGGGATCAAACCCAGGGCTCCTTTCACACTAGGCAGGCATTCTACCCACCTAGCTACATCGCAAGCCCCATACTTCTTGAGTTCTACTACAAAGCTTGGCCTACGTCCTTGCCTATTAGAAAAGTTGAATAAGTGCTTCTATAGCGTGCGTGCATGTGTATGTGTGTATTCCCGTGAGTCTCATGCAGGTGTGTTTGGAGGCTAGAAGACAGATCGGAGACCTTCCTCCAGCCCCATTCACCTCTTGTTGCTCGTTTGAAATTGGGTCTGTCTCAGTAGGCTGAGCTGTCTGCCTCCTTCAGTGCGGGGATTACAAGTGGGTACCTATAAGTGGTTACCACCGTGCCCATTCTTTTTACATGGATTCTGGGAATGGAACTCAGGTCCTGTGTCAACTCAGCTATCTTCCCTGCCTAATCTGTGCTTTTAAATTTTTTTCTTTTTTGTTTGGTTGTTTAAGACAAGGTCTCACTGTGTAGTCCTGGCTACTTTTCAGCTCACTACATAAGTCAGCCTGGCCTTGAACTCAGAGCGATCCACTTGCTTTGCCTCCCGAGTGCTGTGCAGGATTAAGGTGTGCGCCACCATTCTACCATACTCTTGGTTTCGACTCCAGCACTAAGGCAAAGAGAAATGCCTGGATACTGAGATGATTCCTTTCTTCTGTGCACCTCATCTTCTTGGCTTCCATTTTCTCTTTCCCCTGGTTAAGAAGCCTCACCCAGATCCATTCCCCTCCCCCAATTGTCTAAGTAAATCTGGCCCAATCATTAGGCCCCCGCCAGGCCAATGAGAGATCCTGTCTCCAAAGCACATTTAGGACTCGGACACACACACTCCACAGAAGTAAGGTGGATGGACCTGAGAAAGAACTGGGTTGATCCCTAGCTTCCGCAAGCACTTTCACACTCGTGTCCACACAAAGTCATGTGACTGGAGCACCTGCTACACGGGGAAATGGCAAGTGGGGCTCCCCTTTGTATCACTAATACGGTGAGGGCCTATATTTAGGTCGACCCTCAGACTTCAGTTGTGTCAAAAAATTTTTGCCTGAGCCGGGCGACAGTGGCGCACGCCTTTAATCCCAGCACTCGGGAGGCAGAGGCAGGCGGATCTCTGTGAGTTCGAGGCCAGCCTGGTCTACAGAGCTAGTTCCAGGACAGGCTCCAAAGCCACAGAGAAACCCTGTCTCGAAAAACCAAAAAAAAAATTTTTTTTGCCTGGGTTTATTTCATACTTGTTTAGCAAGTGCTCTAAACTACTGAGCTATGTGCCTTTTATTTATTTACTGATTTTTACTTTAAAGCAGGATCTAAGTAGACCAGGCTGATGAAACTTGAGGTCCTCTTGCATGAGCTTCCCAAGTCCTGGGCTGACAGATGCACCACCACCACATTCTTAATACAGAGAAGAAGGAGCCGCATTTCTCACATAATGGATAGGAGTTACTTTGTTGTTTTGTTTTAATCTAGAACGCCTCACGACTTTGTGGGTCATCCTTGCGCCGGGCCATGCTGATCTTCTCTGTATCATTCCAGTTATAGTATATGTCCTGCCAAAGCAAATACTTTTTTAATTACGAATGACTTACCTATTTGTGGTATGTTTTGGTTTTGGTTTTTGAGACAGGCCTTCCTGTGTAGCCCTAGTTGGCCTCCAGCTCACAGAGATCTGCCTGCTTCTGCTTCCATATACACGGCTTTGTGTGTAGTTTCTGAAAGGCCCTGTGGTTAAAAAGCAGTGCATAGGGGGCCACTGTTCCCGTGGGAAGCTGCCAGGTAGCTCAGGTGTGTTGTGCTAGTCAAAAGTTCGAGAGCATGACGGACTATAAGCTCCCAAGAGGAAGAACTTTTTAAATTGATCTCGCATGTGCTTACTGTAGCCTCTGGCAAGACGTCGGGACTATGTTGTTACCACTTCCCACTGTAATTTTTCACACACGAGTTTTTCTTGTCTGTTGACTTCTGTTGGGCTGTGTACTGGCAAAGGACAGTGATGAGCCTCAGATGTAACTAACTTCATTGCTGTCTTTGTACAGAATCCTCACTACCGATGGGCTTACTGAGGTCATAAAGCAGCGGCGTTTCTATGAGAAGCCCTGCCGCCGCCGCCAGCGGGAGAGCTATGAAACATGCCGGAGGATCTACAACATGGAAATGGCTCGAAAGATTAACTTCTTGATGCGGAAGAACCGGGCAGACCCATGGCTGGGCTGCTAAGCCCACGTTAGTTCTGTGTCTGACTGTTCTTACACAACCACAATCTCTGTTACCTTTCTCTACAATAAACTCAATCACAGGTGAACAAGAAGGCGAACATATAGAAGCTATCTCACTAGTCCACAATGGACCCTTTTATTGAAAGGAAAAAAAGCTAATAAAAAAATGGAATAGGTGCAGTAATGTTGGTTGCTAGTCTAGGAGAGGGGCCGATCAGGAGTTAAAGGTAATGGGTACAGTTTCTGTTTATAAAGATTTGTTTTAAAAAATGTATATTAGGGCCGGGCGGTGGTGGCGCACGCCTTTAATCCCAGCACTTGGGAGGCAGAGTCAGGTGGATCTCTGTGAGTTCGAGACCAGCCTGGTCTACAAGAGCTAGTTCCAGGACAGGCTCCAAAACCACAGGGAAACCCTGTCTCGAAAAACCAAAAAAAGAAAAAAAAAAAAAATGTATATTAGGGTTGGAAAGATGACTCAGCAGTTTAGAGTTTGCTGCGTTTTTCAAAGAGGACCTTGTTTTGGTTCCAACACCTGGGTGCTTCTCACTGCACCTTCAGTTCCAGGGGCTCTCTCGCCACGTTCTGGCCATGTGGATGTAGTACACATACTTGGAACCTTTTTTTTTTTTTTTTGGTCTTTCAAGGCAGGGGTTTCTCTGTGTGTAAAAGACTTTATACACAGGGAATATAAATAAAATTTTAGTGACTGTGGGGCTGGAGAGCTGGCTTGGCTCTTTAAGAGTACTGGCTGCTCTTTCAGAGGCCCTGGCTTCAGTGCCTGACACCTGCCTAATGGCTCACAACTGTAACGCCAGTTCCAAGGGAGTTTCTTTTTCTTTTAAATTTCATTTTACATTCCAACCACAGTTATCCCTCCCATCTCTCCTCCCACCCACCATAGGGCTCCCATGGGGAGTCAACAAAGTCTGGGGAGTTTCTTTTCTGACCCCCACAGTACATAGATAGATACATAAGCCAAATACTCTTCAGATTAAGTAAGTGAATGTACTTAATATTACTGAGTGGTACACTTGGTTAAATTGTGGTTTTGGTTTGGTTGTTTTTTGACTTTTTGACACAGAATTTTACTGTGTAGACCAGAGTGACCTCAGACTCACAGATCCATCTGCCTCTGCCTCCTCAGTGCTGGGATTGATGATGTGCATCACCACACCCAGCTACATTTGTATGCTTTTAGAATTTTAAAGCCCCTTTTCAGCATCTAGAGGAGGCAAGGAAAAGTTCCAGCTATAAAAAATATACTGCAGGCCGGGCGGTGGTGGCGCACGCCTTTAATCCCAGCACTTGGGAGGCAGAGGCAGGCGGATCTCTGTGAGTTCGAGACCAGCCTGGTCTACAAGAGCTAGTTCCAGGACAGGCTCCAAAACCACAGAGAAACCCTGTCTCAAAAAACCAAAAAAAAAAAAAAAAAAAAAAAAAAAAAAAAATATATATATATATACTGCATTTCCTACCCAATTTTTAAGAGCCCAAAGCAAGTCTCACTGGGAATGCAGAAGAGACTACCTAGTAAGCTACCCTTCACCTTTGAGTAGAGAAGTATGTAGATATTCTCACTAAATTCTAGAATACAGAACTACTAAACTAGTGCGAAGGAATCCCAAGAACAAACCTAAGAAGGCTAACTCCTGATTCTGTCCTTGAGCTTTCCTGAAGTGTGAGTGTGTGTGCGCGTGTGCGTGCGCGCGCGCAGGCGCGTGTGTGCGCGCACACTAGTGGGTGACAGTAAAGTAATGCACAGTAAGGAAAGAGTAGACGTGCTCAGTGAGAGGTGCAGCGGCAGGACCGGAGTGTGCGGTGCATGTAGGGCCGAACTGGAAGGTCAAGTCCAGCAAACTGTTACTGGGCTTGTGGATAATTCTAATTCCTGCTTGAGCTAAACCTTTGTCCTGTGTGCACTGGGCCTCTGGTTGGAGGGTCCCACTGTCAGCACCTTCCCACAGCAAGCCTTCTGTTCCTTCTCTGCTGCTGTCTCCTGACTGGAGCACCTTCAGTGGTCTGGGAGTTGACCCCAGCCTCTGGAAGAAGGCAAAGAAGAGGCGGGAAGTCTAGCTGCCTCTCCCCCGGGACACTGCCTTCTCGGCATGGACTTAAGGGATAGAATTCAGGACTAGTGTGTAGACATTGCTCCCTTGTGGTGAAAGTCATTGTTTCAGACTTCTAGCCTTCACTTTATTTTTGAGTTAGGGTTTTAGGGTAACCCAAGCTGGCCCCAGACTTGCAGTCTACCTGCCTTTTCCTCTCCAGCTGATGCTACAGGTTTGTCCCTTCTCTAGTGGCTGATGCTGCTGAGCCCTTTCATGAGTTTATTCCTCCCTTGAAGCGTTCAAATCCTTAGCCACCTCTAAAAGTAATTTTTGGCCTCCGAGTTGGAGTTTCTTTCATTCTCTTGACAAGGTCTCTCATCAGATGCCTGGCATGCGGATGTTGCCACCCACTCTGTGGGCTGCCTTTTTATTCTGTTGATCATTTCCTTTGATGTTTGTATATTTGTTGTGACATGGCCTCCACTGGCTTGGAACTTGCCATCCTCCTGTCCCAGCCTCCCAAGGACAGGGATTACTGGCATCTGCTACCATGCCCAGGCAAATGCACAGTTTTCCATATCCATGAAGTACAGTTTGCTTCGTTGCCTTTGATGTCATAGCCAAGAATTCATTGCCAAGTCCAGTGTAATGAAGATTAACTCTGCTGTCTTCTAAGAGTTTTATAAATTTCTGCTCTTAATTTTAGTGTAGTTTTTAAAATGTAGGTCCTTGAGCCATTCAAATGAATGAGAATTTAACTACGTTAGTGGGGTGTTGGGTTTCAATATCCCTTGTAGCCCAGACTGACCTCAATCCCAATATGTAATTGAGATTGGTTTTACATACCTAATCTTCCTGCATCTAATTCCATGTTTGCAAACAAAAACTTAAAAAAAAAAATTGAGACAGGGCCTCACTGTACAGCCTTGGCTGTCCCTGGAACATACTTTGTAGAACATACTGGCCTGGAACCTGGAAATCTGCCTGCTTCTGTAAGTGCTGAGACTGAAGGCATATATCACCACCGCCTGCCCCAAAATTAACTTAAAAATGACATTTATTTATTTACTCTGTGTGATCATGGTACAGCATACAGTCGGAAGGACAGAGTTCAGGACTTGGTTCTCTCCTTCCACCTTATGGGTCCTGAGGATCAAATGCAGGTTGCCAGAATTGGTGGTGATCCTACCAACCCCAACATGAACTAAAATTACAAGTTATCTTCTTGGTGGTAAACTCATCAGAAAATGCAGTGATTTCCTAGAAAGATGGGAATTAGAATTTTCTAGTAGCATGAGGTGTTTTTGGAGTTCCTACCCCCTCCGCGATATAAAAGTTTATTAGGGGCCGGAGAGTTGGTTCAGCAATTAGAGCATGAGCTGCTCTTCCAGAGAACCCAGGTTCAATTCCCAGAACCCATATAACAGCCCACACCTATCTGTAAGTCCAGTTCCAGGGGACCCTATACACTCATGCAGTCAAAACACCAATGCATATAAATAAAATTTAAAGGAAAGTTTGTTGACTTACTTTAAAGAGGGAGGTTCTTGCTGTATTGTTCAGGCTGGCCTAGACTCCTGGGCTCAAGTAATATGCCGACCTCAGTCTCCTGTGTAGTAGATCCCAGCCCTTAGTACAGGCACGGGGCACCGTGCCCAGCTAAAAGCTAGGTGCAATCATTTGAAAAATACAAACTTAAACACACTTTCCCTGCCAGGGTAACATGACAGAACAGAAGGAAACCTGTCGTTTGAGTGACATGGTGGGGGGAGCAGGATCACACCGCACAGCTCACACAGCCTGCCATCTACAGCTCCTAGTTCCAGCACATCACAAAACACAGGCTGTTGATAGAGCAACTTCATTCGGGAACGCTGATCGGCACGGGTTAGCTGTATAGACTACTCCCTACCCGGCCCAACCCAAAGTAGCCGCTTACTATGTGGGTGAGGTCCTTCTCACTTCGGCCTCAGCTCAGCATCTGTGCCCGTTGTTCACTGCACGTGAGTAAAGTTGGAGACCACCGAGCGCAAGTTCTCAAGTGTGAGGCTGCTGCCTGCAGTGTGCAGTTTTCAGACAATACACCTGTTCTTGGCTAGCTTCCAATCTTAGTTTTCACAAGAATCAGACAAAAAAAAAGTCCTTGGGAGGTTCCGGTGACCTAGCTAAACGCATCCAGAAGGTCGGGATTGTCGGGAAATATGGGACCCACTATGGTGCCTCCCTCCAGAAAATGGTGAAGAAAATTGAAATCAGCCAGCACTCCAACTACACGTGCTCCTTCTGTGGCAAGACCAAAATGAAGAGACAACTGTCGGCATCTGGCGCTGTGGTTCCTGCATGAAAACAGTGGCTGGCGGGGCCTGGACCTCAACACTCTGCCGTCACAGTGAAGCCTGCCATCAGAAGACTGAAGGAACTGAAAGCCCAGCAGAAGTGCTACCATTTGAGACCCAAGCCTATTCAACAGCCAACTAAATAAATGGGTTAATTTAAGTTAAAAAAAAAAAGTACTTGGGGCTGGGCAATGGTGGCGCACGCCTTTAATCCCAGCACTCGGGAGGCAGAGGCAGGCGGATCTCTGTGAGTTCGAGACCAGCCTGCTCTACAGAGCTAGTTCCAGGATAGGCTCCAAAGCAACAGAGAAACCCTGTCTCGAAAAACCAAAAAAAGAAAAAAAAAAGTGCTTGGTAACAGTGCTGGAAATTTCTCAAGAATAAAGTGGATTTTCCGGCCAAAATGTGTTCTGATTAATGTATTCCAATTTTTCAGTTATTTGTAAATTTCTTGCAGTGTTTTGAAACAAGGTCTCACTGTGTGGTCTTCACCTCACAGAGATCTGACTGCCTCTGCCACTCAGGGCCTGGGATTAAAAGCCTGAGCCAACACGCCCTGCCTTCTTTCAATGCTTTTTAACAAACTGGGTTCAATTTTCTATGGGGAATGTTTTTAGTAGAACTGATTTTATCTTCTGTATTTAATCAGGTGAGTTTAAAATAAATATTTGTCTCTCAGTTACGGGCTGTGATGCCTCCATATAATTTTTATGAATCGTTTCCTCCGTTAGGAAACGACAAAAGGAGTCAGGCGCCGTGACACACACAGATAGTCCCAACTACTCAAACTGA